ATTTTTCTTTTCGCTGAAGTCTTGAAATTTCCACACCGAATAGCAATTTTCAATAGCTTCAATTTGATATATAGGCCGACGTTTGAGGTCAAGTATTTCTGCTCATAACTCAGAAAAACTATTTTGGCTTCATCAAATCATAGGCCTTCATCATAGCAGTTAGCCTTCCAGTTTATTTATAGTTCAACTTTGACAATTTCCGACAACATTGACAATTTTCCGACGGGTCTCAACAATAGTGGGGGGGGGGGCATGGCCCCCTCTGCCCCCCGGCCACGGCGCCACTGCTAGAGTCTTTCACGAGGGCAGACAGCATCCCAAAAATGGCGGGTTTTGGCCTTCGTGAGAAAGGCTAATTAAAGCACCCAAAATGCAAGAACCACTTCAGACGGAAATAAGAACCAGTTAAGAACACCACTTCAGCCTGATTTCTTTGTAAGTACCCGTTTTATAAGAACCACTTGACAGGTCTGCAAATTAGTGCTGGTCATCGGACATTGTCCGGCCAAATTTTACCTTTTCTGCGATCAAAGTTTTTTCTATGATCGTCAAATGTCTAATCTCAAAAAATTGATTTTGAACACAATTTCATTAATGAAACCAAAGCAATATGAACGACACTCTTCCCTTATTTTTTGCTGCACTAAGCCGTAAGATTCAATTACAAATATAAATAAAAACTAAAAATAATAAATAAATAATAAATCGTCTTATTATAACATGCTAGAAATTAAAGGTATATGTATGACTGATATACTAAAAATGCAGTATAGGACTTGTAGATTTATACTCGGTTTTAGATGCAGTGCAGCGCAGATCAACATGACCAACCAAAATACATCATGCATGCTAATATGAAAAAGACCATGAAAAAAATTGTCCAAGAAAAACTGATAAATGTGCGACCACTTTTTGTCTTGATCGGACATCTGTCCTTCCGAGCAAAATAATTATTTGCAGGCCTGACTTCAGCCTGAAGTCAAAATTCATTGGTTCTTTTTATGCGGGCTTCGCTGTATTCTGTTATTTAAAATGATGTTGCTTCTTCAACAGTTCTATTCGAGCGCCACAGATATAGAGGGAAACCCATTGCTGTGAATGTTGCCACCAAGAAACCAAAGTTGACCTAGAATAAAATTATAAAGCATTCCACATCCTGTGTTGGTGTAGTGTACTCAGAGTGTACGACCAGACCGTACTGTAGTGTACGACCAGACCGCGTAGCTCAGTTGGCAGAGCATTGGGCTAGTATTCCAAAGGTCGTAGGTTCGATTCCCACCGTGGTCAGGCATATTTTTCAAGCTTGCCCAGTGTGGATATACACTCAGAGTAACATCACAAGCATCATTCCACATCCATTACAATTATAGATTTGGCCTGGGGCGGATCTACGGGGGGGGGGGGGCAGAAAGGGGGGCCCCCCCCCCCGTGGTGTCTAGCACCCCCATAGAGAAGTCCAGCACCACCCTACAAAATCAGCTTGACCATACATTTCCTGCTTTTCGAACAGCGATTGGGTTGTTGTCAAGCCGATATCAGGATGTGTTCGCACTGCTTGTTTCCAGTTGTAGTGACAAGTCTGGAACAAGTTGTTACCCCTTTGTTGCAAGGTTGATGACGGTAACAGACTTGCTACAAGTTGTTCCACCAAGAACAAAACCGCCACACACTATATCAAAGTTTCTGTGATCACAGTAGGAATTTTGCAGAGGTGAAATTCGTAAGGATTGAAGGATTTGTAAGAAATGTTTGAGGGAACTGGCTTAACCCTTCAAAACGTAGAATTTACCTATGCAAAATTCCTACTGTGATCACAGAAACTTTGATACAGTGTAAACACCAACCTTAATACAGGTTGTTCGTAACAAGTTGCTACGAGCTTGGTGTTAGAGAGTTTAAAGAATCATTACACATTATAGTTTTAAAATAACAAGTCCATTTACTCTTTGTTGCCTGATACCGCAAAATTTTTCTTTGCCTGGCGTTTGACATATGAACGCGAAGCTTAAACTCTCTATATAGCTATTATCAACTTGTTACGTGCAGATTGATTGGACCTTGGAATATCCTCAATGTATTCTCCTCAATATTATCATTATGATAAATTCGCGGCACAGTTTGAATTTATCAATAGAGTTAATCGTAAAACCACAAGCATTAGAGGTAGGCTGGTCTCGCCGGGGAGATTTCCAAGATTTTCAAGCGGTTAGGGGTTAGGTGCCGCGAATTTATCATAATGATAAATTCGGACGTGTTTAAGAATTTATCATATAGTAAATTCAAAGGTGCATGGAGCTCATGCTGAATATCTTATACTTACCCAATAAGGATTACTATTGCTTGGTCCATCAATAAGTATAATAGCTGGATACTGTAGTAAACTGACTGTCGCCCCAACAAACGTACATACTCCATACAGCTTACCATAATGTTCTATTGGGAAACTGAAAAAAACACACCGGTACAAAAATAGTAACCTACACCCCCCATATAAATAACGATAAAATATGCGACATTAATACGATAAAAACTTACGCTCTTAATATAAATGATATTAGGGAGGCGTAGAGAAATGCCCTCATGGCAACTTGCACAACGAATGCCAAATACTAAAAACCAAGACATATATAGTGTGAAAATTCTTGAATTGAATTTTTGATGCCGCTCTATAAATAATTATAGCAGTGCAAAAATCTGGAACGTAAACCTTACGCACACGAGGGAATCTTGCTGAGCTTTTCTACAAGGCCTTATATATGGGTACATAGACGTGAACACCAATGAATATATTTCATCTATATAGGCCATGGCCGTACAAGACACAGTCAGATTCCTTTATTTGTGAAAACTCCACGTTGTAAAACAAACACTTTTTCATAGGCATCCTTTTATAACCGGATTGTCAAACTCTGGAACACTATTCGCAAAACAGCTCTTGTATCATGATATTTGCTGTGTTGGTGTAATGTACTCAGGTGAATAAGATGCTTGTGTGATGTTGCTCTGAGTGTATATCCACACCGGGCATGCAGGCTTGAAAAATATGCCTGCCGGCCACCGTGGCCAGGCATATTTTTCAAGCCTGCCCGGTGTGGATATACACTCAGAGTAACATCACACAAGCAGCTCTTGTATCATTTAAACAAGTACTCAGACAAACATATCTAACTTTATTCAATACATCCTTTGACAAAGACTTACCGTGCACATGGGGACAGTGTCTTGTGACTGTCCTTGCCGTTGCTTTACATATAATTTACTAATTACTGTATAGTCTTATGACACATAATTTACTGATTACTATATATAGTCTCTGGTTGACCTATATGTTAGGCCTGTTTCAAACGTCGCGCTTCTCATATGCCCAACGCATTAGAATAAATAGATAATGAGGCATTTCAGCTGATTATCAATGTTTTTAATGCGTTTGGCACATGAGAAG